ACCTGGCGAAATATTAACTAGATTTATTCATTACAATCTGGATAACACTATGTTTGCCTGATTCAATGTATGTTATGTAAATCCAAAGGACAAACAATGAGAGACTTATGCAACAAACGTACATTGTTTGTACCTAAATAACTATAATATAGATGAGAGCATGTCATTGTTTTGTTCCTGTTAACATTGTCATTGATATTTTTCAAGAAAGTCTATGAGGCATAGCTTATGCATTCCTGTCATTACTACATTAGCATAATTACTGCTAAAATAATTCTCAGTATGATATACCTCTTGTAAGAAATCATTATAATTGTAGCAATCACCAAAAAATCTCAAACAGATCACATTGAATCGTAATCCAAAAAATTATGACGTCTTGAATTACCCACCCCCTTTTATTCTAAAACGATAATTGCGGTTGTAAACAGACTTTGGTTTATTCGCATGGCGATTACATATATAACTATATATTTCACAAAGAAAATAGAGATTTACCATGAATAGTTTCCTGCACGTAGTCTTTTTCAGTAAAACGTGCCTTGCAAACAACAGCTGATTGAGATGGACTCCACGATATCATCGTGTTCTCGTCCAATCTGCGTATGGGCCATGGCGTTGATCCAACTTTTCCTTCTTTTTAAGTCATTTGGAAATGCATGTCCTCCTCTTAAATGACATCCAGGTACACAACAACAAGTATTTGGCATCGTTAATTAAAAATATAACTGAAATAGTTGCACAGTGCAGAAACCGGAAGAAGAGGAACAGGATCCGCTACCACGGCGCCACCTATTCAGGAACGATAATTTGCTACTTTATATAACTGCGAAAATAACGTTAGACGGGTTCACGTGCATAAACAGAAATGCGCTTTAAATTGTATAATATAATTCATGTTCAGTCGACTTTTAATCATTATATCAACGACTGAAATAATTTATAAACATCTAGATTGCAGATAACACTCGAAATTAACCCGAGCTCTTTCCACACGGAATTCAAATAATTCTAGTTTGTCAATCGGTTGACTGCTTATAATGCAAAATACTAATATATCAAAAGTTTTTAAAACTAACAAAAAACAATGATCGTTTCTCTATTTCCCAATGTAAATGAAATGAAACAAAAAACATTTTATATCGCAATAAGAAGAGGAGAGAATTCAACATTTCCGGATCTACTTGGAGTCTAATGACCCCCCACGTAGATAAGTTGGATATCGCGGAAGGAAGGATTAACCCGGCAACTAGAAAGGCATTAAAGCACTGCCTTTAAAAACAGCTTCATAAAATCACATGGGATACACTTTTGGCTAATAAATCACAGGCAAATATAGCAACAACATTTGAGTAAATAAAATCGCATTATACAAATTTTTTTTTTTGAAACATTAGGTCAAATGACTACTAAAAGCAAACTTTGAAATTTATTATGAAATAATTGTTCATCTAGATTTAAGGTACATCAGAAGGGATTGACAAATATGGCCATTTTTTTTTTATTTCCTCTGAGTACAGACAAACCTGTGCACAAGGAAAAGTTTTAAGGCATTGCAGAAACTGGATAAATATTTGTCAATTCCTTGAGATGAACCTGAAAGACCCCCCCACCCCCCCCCAAAAAAAAAAAAAAAAACTAAAATTATCTTCAATCTTTGATCAAAATATTGTAAAAAGTCATATTTTCATATTATCTATTTATCTATTTATGTTGCTATGCTAAAATATTTTTTACTTATCTCAATACTTATCTTATTTCATATGTATCAAAAATCAGTAAATGTGATTCTGTTGTGCAAACAAAATTTCAAAAGTTCTTCAATCTGTACATATTCAGCCAATTAATCTTTATGAAGGGACTGGAGTGAACTGTATTCTATGTTAAACATTCATGCATGAGTGACCTTATTGTAACATTTTCACACCTTCCAATGTTTTTGTTAATCACGGTTTAGTAATGATCCCTTAAAAGTTTTTATTATTTATTATCATTATTAATGTTATTTAAAGATTTTTATAAAATAATCTATTTCAATGTAAGTAATCAGCAGTTAAATAATAAAATACATTCCATACACCAAATATAGTTGACCAATTACTTATAGCATCTGAGAAGAAGACCAAACAACAGAAACTTAACATTGACCAATGAACCATGAAAATAAGCTCAAGGTCAGATGAAACCTGTCAGACAGACGTGCACACCTTACAATCATTCCATACACCACATATAGTTGACCTATAACTTATAGTATCTGAGAAGAGGACCAAACAAGAGCAACTTAACATTGACCAATGAACCATGAAAATGAGGTCAAGGACAAATGACACCTGCCAGATAGACATGTACACCTTACAATCATTCCATACACCAAATATAGTTGACCTATTGCTTATAGTATTAGAAAAACAGACCAAAACACAAAAACTTAACATTGACCAATGAACCATGAAAATGAGGTCAAGGACAAATGACACCTGCCAGTCAGACATGTACACCTTACAATCATTCCATACACCAAATATAGTTGACCTATTGCTTATAGTATTAGAAAAACAGACCAAAACACAAAAACTTAACATTGACCAATGAACCATGAAAATAGGTCAAGGACAAATGACACCTGCCATACAGACATGTACACCTTACAATCATTCCATACACCAAATATAGTTGACCAATGGCTTATAGTATTAGAAAAACAGACCAAAACACAAAAACTTAACATTGACCAATGAACCGTGAAAATGAGGTCAAGGTCAGATGAAACCTGCCAGACTGACATGTATCCCTTATAATCATTCCATACACCACATATAGCTGACCTACTGCTTGTAGTATCTGAGAAACGGACCTAATCACGTAACTTTAACCTTGATCATTGATCCATGAAATGAGGCTGAGGTCAGGTGAAACCTGTCTGATGGACATGTAGACGTTGCAAGGAACCCATATACCAAATATACTTATCCTATTACTCATAATAAGTGAGAAATTTACATAACAAAAAAACTAAACTTTTTTTTCAAGCAGTCGCTGAACCATGAAAATAAGGTCAAGGACATTGGACATATGACAGACGGAAAGTTCGTAACATAAGGTATCTGCATACAAAGTATGAAGCATCCAGGTCTTCTACCTTCTGAAATATAAAGCTTTATACAAATAGTTTACGCCGCCGTCGCCGCCGGATAGTAATACCTATGTCTCACTTTCTGCGACTTTCGTCGCAGGCGAGACAAAAAACCACAATACTGGTACAATACTGGAATACAATACTGGTACAAAATTTTTATACCAGTATTGTACACAATACTGGTATACCTGCAGTGATTTTGCTAGCGCTCGTCACTTTCGTAATATACGAAACTGTTTTCAAAATGACGAAAGTATTTCAAATCAATTTCGTCACTTAAATTTGGAAAAGTGTAAAAATATTTTCACATGAAAATACTATAATTCTACCTGTCTACATGTTTCTGACAAGTTTATGACCCTCAGCTAATTAACATTTACAGGTGTTATAAAGTTGTGATTACAGCTAATCCGCTTATCGTCATCGGATGGGTCACTAATCTGGTTAATTATTTTCCCCAGTAAAATTAGTCAGTCTGCATTTTAATTTCAATATTTCTCAAGGCCAACAACCACAATTTGCAGTTGGTTTGTCATAGTTTTGTCATTTGAACAAAATTGTCCCCCCCCCCCCCCCCCCCAGACAGTTCGCTTTTTAATTTCAATATTTCTTAATGATCATATTTTGCAGTTAGTTTGTCGTAGTTTCGTCAAATGATCATATTTTCGTCATCTTTGATATAAAACGTTCAATTTTGATTAAAAAGATAGAACTTTATTCAAAACGTTCATAAATGTTTTCACGTTGAAAACTTCCATCATCATCATTGACATCAACGAGTCAAACAGGTGCTTCCTTTACGATATACTGCTCATGACTGAGAGTATTCCTATTAATTTAAAGACATTTAAACGTAAAATACGGAATAAATTTAGTGCCAATATAAATGGGAGAGACAAATATAGTTCTTACTAAGCAAATTGAAATATAAAAATGATAATTTCCTGCCTTTTTTAAACACGAACCAATCCGTAGATGAATCCGGATTCATTCTGAATTTATCGTTTATTATCTACTTGTCACTTCCCGTTCACATTCCAATTGAAATCGAAGGTAAACGTGATCAATTCTAGATTAATTTACAATTTACAGTTATTGGAATCGTTCCATGTGAATTTGTACAAATCCTTGGTTCCAACTTTATAGAAATTAATTCAAAATATCGATTTAAACGTTTTATAAGGATAATGATTATGCAGTGTAATAGTCTTACAAAGTTCAACAAGTTCATTTATACTGTGATTCTTGGTTTTAAAAAAAGGAACCCAACTTTTGTTGATCAGGAATGTCCCCTGAAACTAATTGAAGAAAAATTGTGAACTAGATTTTCAGATCTTATATCCTAATCTTCATATTTAAGTGACACATCAGTCAAATCATGCAATTACTGCCTAGTACATTAATGCCTTAGTCCCACAAAGTCTAACAAAGATGTATAGCTAGTAATATACATACATCCTTGGTTCCTTGCTGTTACCTAAAATAATGTTGATTTTCATCTCGCGCAAAAGTGACTAAAGCCCTTAAAATCCTAGCTTAAACCCTGTCCGTATTGCGATCACCAACTACAGGAGATCCGTCATTACCTTGAGGGGTTATCCCTCATATGGGGGGTTGTTCCCAACCTGTTCAACATTCCCAAAATAAAAGAACTGAGTGGCATGAATGTGCATGAAAATATTTGCCATTGGCATTGTATTTGTAAACCATTACATGGCAATGGGTTTAGAACGACCGACACTATAAGCAATTAAACTTATTTTTGTGGGTTTTTTTCAGTATAATACTGAACAGTAATTGAAAAAGGAAAAGATACAGATTATGTTTGAAATCGCTTTTCAGAAGCAGCATGTATTTTTACCTTGTGAATGTTTTGATATCAACCGGAAGCACGTGTTTGCAAATGCAAGTTCTAAAATCATGAAAATGAACCGCCTAATGTATTTCGGATTTAAATAATCCAAGATGTTAAATTATTATTCTTGATTGAATATTAGGTTATATACTTAAGATAAATAATACAAACATTTTTTTTAAAATTTCGACACCTAATAAAATGAATTATAAAAAAAAATAGTTAGTTGGGCCCATGCTCGGGTTGACGGGGTTAATCTTAGCTTATGTTTTATTCTAAATATCCCTTTTCGACCTTCCGTTTTCAATGACGCACATGTTTCAACAGTAAGCAGTGTCTGATAATTTCATCATGGATAACAATCAAAAGAAGCGATCAGGGTTCTTTGCTAACTCACCTTATGATCAACCAATGAACGTTCCAGGTATGAAAATAATCGTGTAATAGGTGACTCGCAGAATCACGAGTGATAAATATAAATTTCATGTTATGCAAGCCAGCCGAAGAATAATTTAGTCGAGATAATCATGATAATCAGTGATTATCATGTATTCATGATGTCTTATGAGAGTGTTTTTTCTTTTTTTTTTTGATAGATCCGTCAAAATGCATTGAAGATAATTTAATAATAAAACAACCTAGAAAAAAGTAGTATCAGTGTGTGACACATTTCGCTGAACTAGTAGTAGTGTACATGATATATCATATTGTTTAGGGGCCAGATGAATCCAGCCTCCTGGGTGTGGGATTTTCTCGCTGTGTTAAAGACCCATTGGTGGCCTTGGGCTGTTTTCTGTTCTTTGGTCTTGTTGTTGATTTTTAGACACTTTCTCTTTCATTCTCAATTCTACCGAGCCCGAATCCGTTTTGTATTCTGAGTCAGGAGCGATTTTCTGATTTGGCTGCCTAAGAATCCCTATTAAGTCTCTATTGAAAAAAATTTGACCACATACCGCACTTCAGACTACTGCCTTTTACGCCTTCATCACCATTCTGAACACCCAAATCGGGTAAGAATTAGATAGAACGACATATAAATATAAGATTAGATAAAAATGTCTACAGACAATATTTTATAACTAAATACTGTGAAATACTGACCAAGATAATATTTCATTTTGAATTAGTGTCCTTCTCCATGAAATTTTCACCGGGAAAGTATTTCACTGTGAATCTTTGACAATATCTTAAAATAAAATATGTCCGTGAAAATATTTTCAAATCAAAGTATGTCTTCCCTGAAAAATCTTAAGCCATGAAATTCAATTTTTAATATAAGTGGGTTTTTGAAATCTGAAATACATTTATAGTTTTTGAAAAGTATGGGTATACATTACTGTTATCTACACATGTATTAATTAATTTGGGTTTGTTTGTTATTATCGCTAAAAGAAAACACTTTATGATGTCATTGTCAAAAATATATAATTTTATAACTCCCTTTCATGAGTCAAAATTAATTACAATTCATCCATGAAATATTGTCTCAATAAAACACTCTAATGATATCATTGCCCAAAATATTGATTTTATAACCTCGAGCTCCCTTTCATGAGACAAAATTTAATTACAATCCATTTATGAAATATTGTCTCAATATACACAAAAAATACATGTAACTTCAGTGTTCTAGGATTTTTATACATATGCAACTTTTCCAAGGGAAAGTTGGAATCAAAAATTCACTTTTCCACAAGTTTAATGAACTTTCCCTGAATTTTATACTATTTTAAAAATGTTTTCATAATTTTGTTATTCCTTTCATAGCATGTTTATACATGTAGTTCGATTTGAAATCAGGGCTTCCAAAATGGTCGTATTTTCCGGACAAGTCCGATAAATTATATAAATGACTTGTTGTGCCGAGACTGAAACAGACAAACTAACATACATGTAGTCAGAAAAAAAATTGAAGTTTATGCAATCTTTTTGACCTGACCTTTAGCCTTAAACAGCCACACATTTCTGGTCATATAAGTGACATGATGAATAATCACTATCAAAACAAACCATACTTTAATACCCTCTCATTACAATCAAGGTTAATTAGTTCTCTGACAGCTGATTTAACCTGTTCAGGTGACAGGTAAACTATTTTGTACCAGAAATCGATCGGTCTATTAAAAGTTATTTTCTTAAATTTCCGTGATTTGCATCTTATATATTTAGTCAACAAGATTCAGATTACCAGAAAACGTAGATAAATGTGATTTGATGAAAATTTAAAAAGGTAGTAACAAAGGTTTAAATTGAAAAATCGTCAGAACCACGTAGTTTGAACTAGTACACTTGTGCGCAGGTGTATTTAATTGTGCATCTGAATTTTCAAAAATGCAAAAAATATCATTGACACCTTTATCTAACGTCCATTTTGAGTATTTTCCTGTAGAAATAACGTAGAAAGAGCTACTTAAACTCAATCGTGCGTTGTAAACATACACAGATTTTACGTATCCATCTCTGGTGTTTTTTTGCCATTGTCAAGTCAACATCCCGTATTAGGAATATGTACTTTTTAAAAACGAAAGGGAAGTTATTGACAGCGTAATTTTGCGCAAATGAAGAGTCTTAGGCAGATATCAGTACGCTGATGTTGCACACTTCGATTGGTGCACTGTCAACAGTTAACGCCAGAACATCGAATTTATATTTAAAATCAAGTCAAATACCAATTTTTGTGTCAATCTTAATTTATATGATGCCCAACTGATTACTTTTTGCCTCAAAGTTGGTCATCAGGTGCAAAAAGCGTCATTTTTGACGTTTTCTCGTCCTATTTCTTGACCCCAAAGACTGAGGGATGCTGTTATAGGTATCCAGCTGTAGTCTGCATGTCAGTGGACCCCAGTAAACACATTAACCTTAACAGTTCTTAGGTTGGAGTGAAACTGATCTGGGAACACAAGTCTAAAGAAGGTCATTTGGACAAAAAATACGGAATTTCACAATTTTTTCTGATTTTCGACTTCAAATGGACCTGAAACTGGAAGTAGTCGTTTCCTCTGAGTATTTCAATAATAATTATGATCAGTAGATATATGCCTGAGGGTTTACACTATTTTTGAAAGTTTTAGGCCTCTGAACTTCCTGTGTAAGACGCAGAAGGGAAGCCCACCCCTCCAGAAAAACCAGTTTTATCCGATTTCAATTTTCCAAGTTCATATTTGAGCTCAAAATGCAACTTAAACATGAGAAACATGACAATAGATAGCCTCAGGTTGAGGGAACATGCATCAATTTCGAAATAAGTATCATAAAGTTGACCTCTAAAAGTATGGAAAGCCATTGGAGCCAAATAACGGTGGTTTGGGTCATCCCCTCATATGGCGGGCTCAGCATGGTAAGGGTTAAGGGATTAAAATCAGGATAAGACAAAAAAAAAATGTCCTGCTGGCTCAAATATTTTTTGGAAGCCCTGTTTGAAATTATGAACTCTGTTATTTCCTTTGACATTATGATTAATTTAATTAATGTCAAAGAAAATAACAGAGTTCATAATTTCAAACAGTTATTAACATTGAGAATGGAAATGGGGAATGTGTAAAAGAGACAACAACCCGACCATAGACATGATAGAGCAGACAACAGCCGAAGGCCATCAATGTTAGTTTGTCTAACTAGCTTGTGATTTGTTGATTATTCAATGTTCATCTAGATATACAAAACATTTGATGGAATATATAAACTTTATTTTGAAATATATTAATTTTAGTTTGACACATGTCTATATGTCCTTCTGGCTCTAGTACAACTGTCTTCCTTGGAAGTGACAAGGAAGGATTGATCCCATTACCCTTCACATGACAATATTTCCTAGAACAGTATTTTGCTTTACAATTTACATGAGCTCTGATGAACCCCTTCACCAATTATCCCATAAGACTGTGACATATCACAAGAGGAAATGTTTGACAATGCAAAGAAAAGTGATTATTGTATGACGACACGTCAATACATGTAGTTGAAGTGTTGCAAATTCTTAGGTTAAGTTTTGTAGATTCTTTAAACCAAATAAAGCAATAAGATCTATGTATTCCATTGTGCACTTTATCATGTTTATGTTAAATAAAAATTGCTTCTTTATCCTTACAGTGACATCTGGACCAGCTGGGAGTATAATGTCGCCATATATGAACTTTGACCCAAAGTATTTACCAGTAAGTGTTTACATTTTGCATCATTATTCATCTTTGTCAGGCAATGAATAACAGAATTGGTTAGGCAACTCCACCTGTTTTCATTCATTCTCCTGAATATGTCAGTGAAATGGAACATACTTGCTCTGGAAATGGGCCCTTGAATTGGATTTAATAAATATTGGTATTATATAGCAGGGTGAGGTTTATGTTCAATGATGTTTCCATTGCAGGACATTTTGAAGTTACTCTCACAGTACAGACAGTCTTCTAACATGTTTAATCCAGCTATATTTTGTATGTACCTATCCCAAATTAGTAGCGTGTATTTCAATGGTTGTCGTTTGTTGCTGTATATTGTATTTGTTTTTGGTTAATTGTTTTGTACATAAATCAGACCGTTAGTTTTGTTGTTTGAATTGTTTTACATTTGTCATTTAGGTGTCTCGCAAAGCTTGCTGTAAGGTATGGATTTTGTTCATTGTTGAAGGCAGTACTGTGATCTTTAGTTGCTTACTTCTGTGTCATTTGGTCACTGGTGGAGAGTTGTCTCATTGGAAATCATACCACATCTTCTTATTTTTAAAGCAATTGCTTTCATGCTATCGCAGATAGCCATCTTTGTGACCCAGATCGATCAAGCCAAAGTTTTTGAGCAGATAAAACTGATTCCTCGTGTCATTCAAAAAATCCTCTGTATATTTCCTAATGGAATACATTAATTGAAACAGTTGAAAACAACAATGTGTTTGTGAAGTTTCAACATATGTTCTTGTAGATGTATTTTTGTTTTTAAGAGGACAACTGTTTGACTTATCTAAGAAGCTGAGTTAGAAAGTGCATTTTTTATACCTGCGATTTCCTTCTTGAGACGATTCATCAAAAGATTGAACATGTCAGTTGTTGATTTAATATTGAAAATTTGACTGAATTATACCTTATATGGTTTAATGTTATTTAATTCGTGTTTCTTTTTCGAAAGAGGTCAGGTTGCTCTTGTTTACTCATAAAATCTTCATTCATACATAAAATTATCGTAAAATCGCTACACACGTTATAGTAATGTAAAAATAAAGATCTCGAGACAATGTCAAATGTCATAATGACCCTACACAATGCATGACCATCGTCTTTTCACTTGATGGTTTTAAAATAGATCTCTCTATATGTACATGTATATAAGCATTGACCGTGTACCAGTTTGATTGTTTTCATAGGGCGGTCCGCCCGCACTTTCCATGAATGATACCATGTTCTCTTTTAATATGCCCTGTCCGATTATGTGAATTTGTACACGAACAAAATAATGTCTGATTTTGAACTTTTCCCCAGATAGACATTCACAATCATGATCAGCCAATCAAAATCGTTGTTTCTCATGATTCTTGGGCTGTATTTGATCAGCCAATAAAAATCATTTCTCATGATTATTGGGCTGCATTGCAAACCTGCTAAGTTTTGAACTTGTTTGGAACATCGGAATTGTACAAATCGTGATCATGGCAGATGAATTTTCATCTGGAAGAAGGTTCTCACACAACCTCCGAAGAAAAGCACAACTGATTTACAAAATTCAAAGATACAGTACTACCATAATATGTTTGTCTTATTTCTATTACAATGGCCAACTGTGAAAGACGTTTTGAAAGAAGAATTAGAAATAGAAAATAAACAATGACTGACTTCTTTGGTACTGCATGAGTGTTTTAAAGATATTTGATTTACAATTCAATGCAGAAAATCGTCAAGCGTATAGACAATGACTTCATGAAACCTGTTACTGTAAATTAACTTCTTTATTTTAAAATCTGTTGCATTATTTTATTTACATGATTATGTCATTAGTAATGAAAGGGGTTAAGCGTTAGCCAGTTCTTAGATAAATTTCAGAAGCCGATCCCATCTTCAAATCTTTAATCAGTATGTATGAATGCATGAATCTTATTGTAAAAACTAAAGTTCGGTAGAACACTCATGCCAGGAAAGTTGAAATCATCAACTCAATGGTTAAATTTAAACCAATTCTAGTCTAATACCGTGTTCACACTATGAAATCTGATCCGGGTCGCACCCAGGATATCTAATCCAAATTAATTACCCCAGTTCACACATAATAAAAAATTAACCCAGTGTGGGATTTTTCTTCTCAACAAAAATAGAAATATAAGCGCTAAAATTGTAACCCGCATCTGTCCACTGTACATATTTACATTCTTTTTCATCACAGTTGCATTATTTCAGAGTCTGAAATTCTTTACCGCACTCCTGATCAACCACTTTCTGTGTTTTCAAATAACGTCCCTTTATCAAAATTGCACCCATTTTGTCCCCCCCATAAAGTGACGGAAATCTTATAGGTTTTCTTAAAGACTGAACAATTCATATTCTCATCATTTGTCATTATGCAGGTCTTTCAACATAGCTTAATACACTTATCTCTCTTGCTGCTGCTTATTTAATATGGTTGTATTTCGTGTGCTAGAAAATAAGGTAACTGGACGTCTGTGACATCACATGTCAAAATATGACGTCATTCGATATGTGAGGTCACGACATTATGACGTTACATTGAAGAACTATTTTTAAGAAGAAAAAAGTTAAACTGTATTATTTGATGTTTTATTTGAAAGAAATGTAGTGATGAACAGGTGGCCCGGTTTTGAATAAATTAAACATATTGACATATATATGTCCCTTTTCTCTTCTCTTTGTTCCATGTTAGAGCGCAATTTTTGCTGGTAAGTACTGCTGTAATTTCAATTGACGTCTAGGCACACTCATGTGCCACCATAGCAACAACCTCACATTAAATCCACTTTACATTCACATATAGAAGGTGAGGTAATTAACTCCACCTAAAATGAGGGGTAATTTTAATCCTGATTCACCCCATGTTAAGGTGGTCACACTACCTAAATTTAGCCCGGATTAACTAATTCGGGTCAAATCTGGTTTTAAAAGGAATAGTGTGAACGGGGTATTAGAGTTGATAATAATGAACACTTTTCAATGACTAGAAGTTCTGTACATGTTATACTAGTAATGTATGGTGGTTGTTAATCAAACATTAAAACAACTATTAAGGGATATTGAATTTGTACTAAGCCCCCACCCTCCAAAAATAGTGGTGTGTTTCCTAATGCATACCTGAAAAGGGTCACTAGATACTGGGTTTTATTGGCAGGCGTCCATTGTGTTTCACTGACGACTTGTTTCTCATGTTTAAGGTGATTTTCGTAATAAATGTTTTTGTCTCATCTACAGCAGTCTAGACATCAATAGCAAACACATTTATCAGTGATTCGCGCAAAAATTGTGACCATATCATTTCAATTGTCTTCGCATTTCAACTTTATTTCATGAAATTCAACAGATTTGTTGTATCATTGGCTGCCATTAGGCATACATGGTCAAAAAATTGCTTGGCACTATTGAAAATTACCTTACTTGCAAAAGCATTGCCGACCCTGCAGTAGAAACGTATTTTGAAATCAGTTAACGGGTCAGACCCGAAAAAAATCCGGAAGATCTTTATCACAGAGTCCCCAGATTAAGAAAATCCTGATTGCCAAATGGCGACCAAGAGTAAATTTTAGGTCTCCTAAAGGCTTTTTAAGTCACCCAGACAACTTTTTTAGTGGACTAAATTGAGGGCTGAAGGTGATTCAGTTCAGAATCACTCTGCAGCTCGTGTTTAGTGTATCACTCACTGTGTAACCATGGTAACATGTTGATTGTTGATAATTAAAGGTGACAACACTCTGCTTTAAGAACCACCCTTACAAATGTATATTGAAAAACACAAAAGTTAACTAATTTCAAAATTAATTGGTATGAGGTAATTTATGTAGATTAGACCAAAATAGCAACATAAACTAGTATTTTTTTGCATATAAATGATACTCTATAAATCTAGTGCATTCCAAACTTTTCTCTGTATTTACCTATATCATGTATATCAGGAGTGCTAAAACCCCAAAATATGCAGACCAAGGATACTTAAATACTTGTGGAGCTTTATGACCAAAGTGGATCTACAAAGAATTGTCAAATCTACCTACTGTCAACCAATAGTCTGATGGAGTTGGAATCTTAGTTTCTTAGTAATTTCTAAGATTCACAGTATTTATATATTTAAGCTGAACCTATTTTCATTTTTTAGACAAAAGATGATGGTTTCATTTTCCCCGAGGGTGCTGGTCGACAACGAGGAAGGTTTGAAATGGCGTTTGCACAAATTGGAGGATCAATATTTGCAGGTATTTAATTGTTTTAACACAGGTAGACTACAGAAAGTGTTAACAATGTTATTAGGTAGTTTTGTAATTTTCATGTTAAATTTTAAAGACCTGAAAGAGTTCACTGTATTAGCATGATTAGATATAAAACAAAATAAATAAATCAATATTTTAACATACCAATTCTGTGTTTTTTACTGAATCTGGAAAGCAAATGTTTCTTTTGAGTCATATCATTACAGGAAAATTTAAAGATTAATGAATCATCATTTTGTCTTACTCGGACGAATGCCATAGAATGCAAGAGATAGGAATGTCAATTAAGCGGCAACATAGTAAACTATGTGTATTAAGCTGTATATTTCAGAAGGTAAAAGACCTGACTGCTTCATACCTTATATACAGATGTCTTATGTTACAAAGTTTCTGTCTGTCATTTGTCATCTTCTATATCAAGATAAGAAGATTTCCTACCTACCTAATTTTTCATGGTTCAGAAATTGCTTTAAAAAAGTGTATAGTTTTTTGTCATGAATTTCTCACTCATTATAAAAGGTTTTATTTCTTGTTTTTACTCATCCCTGATTCTGATTTTCCTTAATAGTATGTATTGAATAGATTTAGGTATAAAGGCCGAGTCCAAAATATGTCCTCAGTCAAAACACATATTTTTCTTATCGCCAGCAACACCATCTGGTAAATGACATCTCAAAGAGATTGAAGAAAAAACTTAAGAAAAGAACCTATTATCTTATTCATGTTATTTACAGATGTGCTGTTAAGTTTTCCGGTTGTACATGTCATAATTTATGTAATAAAAATGTTGAATTTAAATTTGAATTAAAGGAGATTGATATAACAAACATGTTTGGAATTAAATAAAATATGATTTGGGTTATATATCAAACAGCAACCCAACAAACACAAAAATCAAAATACAAACTACATAAGACAAACATGACAAATGTCTACAATTTTTTAAGCTCTTAATTTCCTGGAGTCTAAAAAATTTTATCAAAGAACAAATGTATACATATACATTATCGGTAATTGTATTTACATTTATTTGATAAATAATTGAATATACATACCTGTATAATTTTCAGGTGCAGCAGCGGGTGGAATGAATGGTATTTATACTGGTTACAGAGAGATTAAAGGAGCTACAGACATGTCAACCGCTGTAAAGAGAACACAGTAAGGGTTTATATTGGCACTGACATGTCCTTTATAGTGTTTTAACAGATATTTTATCTTTTCACATCAGCCCCATAGGGTAAATCATAAAAAGGAGCAACCGGAAATCATAAATGGAAGAAAAACATACCACCATATGGCTAGAATAAGGTTGAGTAAGAAAGACAGTCTACAGAACACTAAAATTATCAATCTCATGGAGGGAGGGGGTAGGAAGGCACTTCTATTAAAATTTGATGGTTGGTTATTATTTTGAAAGATGATCTGAACAATTATAGGAAATATTCAATGAAAATTTTATGCATGGCGGTGTAAAATAAAAAGATATTTTATCTTTTCACATCAGCCCCATAGGATATATCATACAAAGGAGCAAATAAAAACAATGAGTAGAAGACAAACAGACCACCATGGTCAAAAGACAAAGGTTTAAAAGGAAAGACAGTCCTCAATACACAACACAGAAAACTAAAGATTGATCATGAGCAATACCCATATCTCAGCATGGGTCAGAAGACACTTCCATTGAAGTTTGCTGGATGTTCATTATTTAAAAAGATAGCTTGCACAATTATAGGAATTATTCAACTTAAGTGTTTTACATTGCAGTGTTATGTAACTTCTGACCCCTCCCCTCCCCACCCTTTTTTTTAATTTTAATTTATTTCTGGAATATGAACACCTCTTAGAAATGAAGAGAGCCAAATTTGTGATACATTATTGTTCAGATATATTGTTTATTTTATACATTTTATTGTTTCGAGCCTTCTATAGCTATAGCTTGCTAGTTGAAGTTGAAGTGAACCTGACTGATCAGGTATCAATTAAATACAAAAGTTAGAGTATTATACTTTATGATTTGATAAGAAATTGTGATAGTATTTTTTTAATGTCTTATGAATGTAGAAGTGATAATATAAAATTCAGCACAAGATGTGTATTGATATCAAATTCAGCACAAGATGTGTATTGATGTCAAATTCAGCACAAGATGTGTATTGATATCAAATTCAGCACAAGATGTTTTTTGATATCAAATTCAGCACAAGATGTTTATTGATATCAAATTCAGCACAAGATGTGTATTGATATTAAAGTTGATTACCCACAATTGTTTTCTTCAAAATATATACCAAGGGAGACAATTCAGTCTTAGTTATCCATATTTATGAACAGTTGACACTCACAAGTTTACTTACATGTAACTGTTAGTTGAGTCAATTTTAAATTACAAAATTGATCCAGAATTATCTCCACAATATATACATATAGAGATATTTTACCAAGTCACATAATACATAAAAGGATACCAGGAATAGCCAAAAACATTTGTACATTACAACAGATCACACACATGTATCAACTCCATTTCCTCAATAAAAAAGATTAGATGCACAAACAAAATCCAGACAACTACGAAAAACACTTGGTCCAGAAAGTCTTTACAGGAAGCTATATATATAGCTAGCTAAGGTAGACACAGTTGTTGGTTGATAGTGCTGCTGCTCCAGAAAACATGTATTTCCCTTTCAAGACTTGAAAAGAGAGCTTCTTAAAACTACTTTGAACAAAATGTTCATAAAAAAATAATTGAATGTAATAATTTCCATGTATCATAAATATACAGCTTGATGAAGTCTGATTGGTTCACTCACAGCATATATTTATTGCTACTATTTATTTTACAGGATGTTAAATTTTATAGGTAAAAGAGGAGCTGCATCGGCACAGTCAGTGGGAGTAATAGGTAGGTTTATTGTCTTACCCTGGAATGAGCAGAGTCACCAGGGGTTATTTTATTACCCTAATTGAGGCATGTGTATGTAGCCTCACCCTATAATCAGCTTATTGACAAGGTGTTAAGATAAGTTATTTTCTGACACATACCTAGAAATTTTGTTATGCATAAAATGTTTGTTTTTGTATGACACCCTACCCAGGAATTTGGTAAGAAGTTTTTCCTAAAATTCATTACAGATGAATTATTTTCTGACCTTTTAAGATCCAGCGACTCTTTTCACAAAAAAATCGAGAGTAAAAATACTGGTAAGTCATACACATTTCAGTATAACTTACGATCAATTTTAATAGTAAGATTTTTTGGGAAAAGAGTCACAGCATCCAGCAGTTTCTGTGTAATAACTCTTATGACCCATTCAATCAATGCTTTTCAAATTTGAATATGTAGTTACTGTGATGACTAAATGGAGGTCAGTTTGGACATTGCAATTTTCTTGTTTCCCTTTCAAGAGTTATGGTTCTTTATTGATTAGAAAACGACACGTTATGCCATTTCTGTGCAATTAGTTCAGAACCTTTCATCCAATACTTGTCAAATTGTGAACTGTTGTTACTGATGGCGAAATGAATGGCAATAAAAATATTGACAATTTTCACTTATTAATTGATTGGGAGAGGGCACTGCATTTTGTTTTTGGGAAATAAGTTGAGAACTTTGAAATAACTACTATTCAAATTTTGATTGACAAAACGGATGTCATATTTTTTAACTACTTTCAGTTTTGCTGTTACAGAGTATGGCCATTAATTGCTTTAACAATGATACTATTGAATGTTATAAAAAAAATTTGGTTTGCTGTCATTTGTACAGCTTGTTATATATTTAGTGATATTTTGTTTGTTAAGGGGTGTTCCACAATCATGCATCATTTACAGCAATAAAGAAGAATTTTTAAAACATTCTTTTACCATTTATCAACACAATTTACGTACAATCTGATGTGTTCAAATCAGAACACCCGATTTTTTACATATATGGGGAATTTCATGTTATGAAAGATAGATCAGTCATTTCTGAAAAAATAAACAAAAAATGTTCATAGTTGGTAATTTTATGAAAAATAGACGCTGTATGGTAATGGTAGTCACACACTATTATGCACCATGACAAAACAATCAGGGGCAGATTGTTGAACCCCTGTCCATCCCACACACAGTACAGGATTTGTACAGTTTTCTAAGTATTAACATTAAGGTGTACTCTATTTCTAGCTTTGTTGTACAGTTTATTTGGCGTGGGATTACAGTGGCTAAGTATTAACATTAAGGTGTTCTCTATTTCTAGCTTTGTTGTACAGTTTATTTGGGGTGGGATTACAGTGGCTAAGTATTAACATTAAGGTGTTCTCTATTTCTAGCTTTGTTGAACAGTTTTTTTTGGCGTGGGATTACAGTGGCTATGTATTAAGATTATGGTGTTCTCTATTTCTAGCTTTGTTGTACAGTTTATTTGGCGTGGGATTACAGTTAGCTCGGGGTGAAGATGATGAATACAATACTATTACAGCAGCAACTGCCACAGGTCTTCTATACAAATCTGCAGGTAAGAACATGTCCAGTTTTTGTTTAGAAGGTACCTATGATAGAATTATTTTGCAACTTTTGTCCATTCCAGAAACTGTCCTTATTCTAAATGTATACTGGCACTTGAATCAAAATACAGTAGACGCCAGCAAATCGGATACTCAAAATGTCAGCAAAAAATATCCCATTACCCTATATATTCAATTAGAAAATATATGAATATTCAAAAAATGAGTTGTCCTAATCCTGAGATGTTACTAGCCCTGACCACTGCATTAGAAAAAGGTTAGGATATTTTTTCTTGATTTTTATGCCCCCGCGGTAGCAGAGGGGGCATAAAGTTTTACCCTTGTCTGTCAGTACGTACGTCCCAAAGTTGGTTTCTGTTCTCTAACTTTAGTTTGCCTCAACCAAATGTAATGAAACTTATACACAATGCTTATTACCAGAAAACACAGATCAAGTTTGAATTTTGGTGGCGTCACTTTAACCGTTCTATAGTTATGCCCCTTTACAAATGGAAAAATTGCTGAATTTTTCTGTTTCCGTTCTCTAACTTAAGTAAGCCTCAACCAAATGTTATGAAACTTATACACAATGCTTATTACCACAAAATACAGATCAAGTTTGAATTTTGGTGGTGTCACTTTTACTGTTCTAGAGTTATGCCTCTTTACAAATTGAAAAATTGCTGAATTTTTTGTTTCCGTTCTCTAACTTAAGTTTGCCTCAACCAAATTTTATGAAACTTATACACAATACTTATTACCACAAAACTCAGATCAAGTACAAATTTGGATAGCGTCACTTTTATCGTTCTTCAGTTATGTCCCTTTATAATATATATGATACGCAAGCAGGGGCATCATCTGTCCCATGGACACATTCCCCATTTATTTTTTTATGGTACAACACAATGTTTGTGTAAAAAATGATCATCTGGTTATATAATACTCATATTTGTTTTCTGCTTTTGAATCCTTTAATTAAAATAAATCAAATTTACTGATTATTTATGTGAATAAATAACTACTATCCATAGTTTGTGTCTTTATTTGATTAAAAAACGAAGTAATATCCATATTTATACATGTCTATTTATGTGTCAACAACAAAGGTAACTTAAGCTTTAAATAACTTTCTCAAAAGTACAGTACAACCTTTCTCACACTGTGTAATTTTTAGCAGCTTGTCTCATTAACCTGATGGTTAAATAAATTATTTCTTCAATGATATTTAATATATATATTAAAAACTAATTTGCTTCTATCATTCAATAAAAATGTTATGGAAAGAGGCTTAAATTTTTATTGAAAATGATTATATATCTGAAGTTCAGCAAATTATTTTTTCACTATCATTTGTCGCAGAGTCTCTAAACTGAAATCTTACTTGTTACATATTTCATTTTTTTAAATTATGAAATATAGTTTGATTATCAATGAAGATAATCATGATGGATGAAATAATAATACATCAAGTTTTCTGAAGATTCTGTTATTGTTCAGGTCATGGTTCTTAATGCTACACATTGTTCAGGTCATGGTTCTTGAGGCTACACATTGTTCAGGTCATGGTTCTTGAGGCTACACATTGTTCAGGTCATGGTTCTTGAGGCTACACATAAAAAATGTAAAAAAGGTGAAAAAGTGTTCATGACATGTGGTCATGCACATGTTACATAGTTTTCTGAAGATTCTGTTATTGTTCAGGTCATGGTTCTTGAGGCTACACATAAAAAATGTAAAAGAGGGGAAAAAGTGTCCATGACATGTGGTCATGCACATGTTACATAGTTTTCTGAAGATTCTGTTATTGTTCAGGTCATGGTTCTTGAGGCTACACATTGTTCAGGTCATGGTTCTTGAGGCTACACATTGTTCAGGTCATGGTTCTTGAGGCTACACATAAAAAATGTAAAAGAGGGGAAAAAGTGTCCATGACATGTGGTCATGCACATGTTACATAGTTTTCTGAAGATTCTGTTATTGTTCAGGTCATGGTTCTTGAGGCTACACATAAAAAATGTAAAAGAGGTGAAAAAGTGTCCATGACATGTGGTCATGCACATGTTACATAGTTTTCTGAAGATTCTGTTATTGTTCAGGTCATGGTTCTTGAGGCTACACATAAAAAATGTAAAAGAGGTGAAAAAGTGTCCATGACATGTGGTCATGCACATGTTACATAGTTTTCTGAAGATTCTGTTATTGTTCAGGTCATGGTTCTTGAGGCTACACATAAAAAATGTAAAAGAGAGGAAAAAGTGTCCATGACATGTGGTCATGCACATGTTACATAGTTTTCTGAAGATTCTGTTATTGTTCAGGTCATGGTTCTTGAGGCTACACATAAAAAATGTAAAAGAGGGGAAAAAGTGTCCATGACACATGGTCATGCACATGTTACATAGTTATATCTGGTAAAAGTAAGATTCCTCTGTTTAGAAGGGATTTATATGTATATTTCAATAAATTATTCAGAAGAAGGTACATTAGTTTAAAATTATATTTCTGATTCTGTGAACACACAGGTTTTATCAAAATTTCTGTCACAAACTGCATTTGTATTTATAAATAAAATGCATCCATTTGAAATGTAAGGGCATCCATCTTATTACAAAGGAAGAAAATGAATAAAGACACCAATTTTATTAAGAAATAGTCCTTTTTATTAAGCAGAAACAACATTTTCCTGTTCACAAGATGGTAATTGCACGACTTCTGACTTCATTTCCTGTCAGAAAAAAAACATTGAAAATATCTGATTGAACATGAATTTGGCAGAATTTTAATGAATATTCCCATCAGGTTTGCTGATGTATTCTTATATCCAACATTTGTTTTCCCCTTTAAAATTAACATCTAACATATAAGAAAGGGTTTGGTGTTTGAAATAATATTACAATAGCCGATATATTCGTTTAGCTGATATTTGAGTAGGCGGAGTCTACTGTAACATTGGTTTTGATTCATTCCAGATGAAGAAGTCAATGACTTGGTATAGAAATTAATCTAATTATTATTTTTCTTTTTCATGTGGACTCTGGACGTCAATGACTTGGTATAGAAATTAATCTAATTATTATTTTTCTTTTTCATGTGGACTCTGGACGTCATTGATTGGAGATGGAGTTGTACTCGGTATAGAAATTAATCTTAATTATTATTTTTCTTTTCCAGGTGGTCTCCGGAAGTCATTAATAGGAGGTGGAGTTGGACTTGGTATAGCTGCAGCTTATGTTTTATTTATGAAATCGGACACTTTTAAATCATACATGACCAGAAATAGATAGAATTGTCAGCATGCATGAATGGGTGTATGTGTATGGTGTTGTTTATACATATGAATGTATGTGTGGTGTATACATCTGTATATGTATGTTTATGTGTGGTGTATACATCTGTATATGTATGTTTATGTGTGGTGTATACATGTGTATATGTATGATTATGTGTGGTGTATACATGTGTATATGTATGATTATGTGTGTTGTATATATGTTTGTATGTATTATTTTTTTATTTTCGTGTGTAAATGAACACAAGTTGTGCGTAAATTAGATTGTGGATGTATGATTGATATGAGATATATGATAAATTTTAAAAAGTTTATACTTTAATTATAAACTGTACTTGTTGTAAGGGATTTTGAATGAATAAACTTGACCTGTTAGCTATTATTCTGTAGATATTAAACATTTAATATCAGTACTTTTTTTAAAACACAAAGGCAGAATTTTTTCAGTACTTTTGACTGATGTTAAAATTTGTTTTTTAATAGAAAATATGATTAAATTTTACCGTCTCTATGAAATTAGATTTTCATTCATATTAAATAATATAATTCACATGTTCATTAAATGTCAGGTACCACTTTTACCTTTTTTGAGTTATGTCACTTTATAATGTTATATGCAAGCGGAAGCATCATCTGTTTTATAAAATGATACCCAAATTTACATAAGGTCAACTTTGACTGAGGGTGTAGTTTCGTAATAATTTGTTTATTTAGAATGGAAAAATTGAAATACGTATATTTTATAAATCATTTCAATAGCGTATAAACTGACTTCTGACCTGATGATAACCTCGAGAACATAGTCCACAAGCAACAGTATAGACCCAGTGCCACTAAACATGCTAGGTTGTTGTTTGTTGATGTGGTTCATAAGTGTTTCTCATTTTCTCGGTTCTTCTTTTTGATTCAGCCATGCTGGATCTATGTGATCCCTCCGGATTTGGAGATCGTGCAAAATTCTAAGTTGAAAACAAGTCATGAAAATAATTATGTGTTTCTATGACTTGCAGAAACTTTATACATCATATTAATCATCAACTGCCAATTTTTAATAATGTCATTTGTCCTTAATTTAAGAAAAGGTTGAGCGAACAACTTCTTTATTTTAGATGTACACTTGCATATAGTTCCTTTGTAAATCAAAATTTATATTAAATTGCCATTTATTGAATAATGTGGAAAATGTGATTTATCAAGTTTAAGCAGTTGATTAGAATAATGAAAGTGTTTTATCATTATTTTATGTTTCTGTAAGCCATTTAATAAAAATTTGGTTCAATATGTGTATTGATATCAGAGTTGATTCCCATTTTTTGAAGAACCACTGATTGGAATGAAACCAAACATGGCATGAATGTTCCTAATGAGGTGCTAACCAAGTGTTGTTACTTTGTAGCCAATCAATCATCCAAGGTGGCTGCCAGTGGGGAACTTAGTTTAACAAAGGACCCTATGCGAAATACATACAAGTCTTCTTTTGAAGAACCACTGAATGGAATGAAACCAAACATGGCATGAATGTTCCTTATGAGGTACTGACCAAGTGTTGTTACTTTGTAGCAAATTCATCAACCAAGATGGCTGCCAACGGGGGACTTAGTTTAAGAAAGGACCCTATGGGAAATATATACAAATGTCTTCTTCTAAAAAAACGCTTAATATGTTGAAACCAAACATGGTATGAATGTTTTTTTTTGAGATGCTGACCAAGTGTTGTTACTTTGTAGCTGATTTGTCATTGTCCTTATAAAGTCATTTTCTACAATTTCAATGAATTTATTGGTAATTTCTGTAAACTTTACAAAAGTCTTCTGCTTTTGATTAAATTACGAGGCAATATTAAACCAAATTTGGCCTCAATCATTGTTAGGGTATCTGTTATGATTTTAATCTATTTTTACATGATTTCCAAAACCAAAGTAGAATCAGGTGAGTGACACAGGCTCTTGAGAGCCTCTAGTTTGAAATGCTATTATTCCAATTCTTGCATTAGGCAAATGATATTATTGATACAATACCAGTATGATGTACAGCTACCAATATTTTCAAACAATTACACTCAAAGGTGTAAGTATTAATTGGATTAAACTCCACTCAAATGCAGTCTTAGTTGACCACAGCTATATTAATATATCATGACAGTTGATAATCATACTGGTATTGAGGTCAAGAATTTGTGTATTCAATTTTTTACACATCTTACTAAATACACAAAATCTTGACCTGAATAATTGTAAAATCAGTATCATAATCATATGACATAAGTTAATAATTAATGTCTATTTAAGTTACAATTATCAGTAATTTGGTTGAAGCAATAAACAGAATTGCATAACTCTTAACTGAATATTTTCTGCAATAAATTTATTTATATATCCCCATTATATTGCTATTTAACAGTAATTTGAATTACCTCAGCATTAGGTATTTGTACATGTATATTTGAATACAGGAAATGTATGTTTTCTTTAATGAAGAATAAAGACCAATTTAGATAAAAGTTAGTTATTTATTTTTGTTGTTGTTGAGACAGTGTATTTTTAATGCCACTTTCTGGAAATTATTAAGCCAATTATTATAAATGGCATATAAAAATATACACATTTGAAGATTTCCCTTAACATTCTTGTCAAAATCATTGAATTTTAAATGTTTCTAAAAAAAAATATGTAAATAAATCTGACTGTCTTCAAGTGAAATAACAAAATAATTTGCATCAATATTGCAAAACTCTCCATCTCTTGGCAATAGAATAGAAATTTTACAGTGAAATTATGGAAATGAGGATAACAAAATAATTATTGAAAGTATGGTAAAAAAAAATGTCTGACTAGCTACAATATTAGCTGAACCACAACATCCATGATGTTTTGATTTATATGGATTAGACCATTGGTTTTTCTGTTTGAATTGTTTTACACTAGTCAATTTGGTGCCTGTTAAAACGTTTACACCGGTTTCATTTTTATGCACCTGTCCTAAGTCAGGAGCCTGTTCTTCAGTGGTTGTCGTTTGTTGGTGTGGTTCATAAGTGTTTCTTGTTTCTCGTTTTTTTACATGATGATGATGGGAGTTTTTAATGACCTTGACTGGCTATACAGCCCTCGCACGGTCGCCTTTTTTTATATAGATTAGAACGTTGGTTTTCCTATTTGAATTGTTTTACACTAGTAATTGTGGGGCCCTTTATAGATTGATGTTCGGTGTGAGCCAAGGCTCCTTGTTGAAGGCCTACTTTGACCTATAATTGTTTACTTTTTACACATTGTGACTTGGATGGAGAGTTGTCTCATTGGCACTCATACCACATCTTCTTATTTCTATAAAATAAATAATCATCAATATAAAAAAATCTAAAATATTTCGTGCTATTTTGAATTAACCTTCATAAGGTTACTCTTCAGACCTAAACATTTGAAAGGAAGGGATGCGTAACAGTGGCGGATTTAGAGGGTTTTCCAGGAGCCCAGGCCCCCACCTTTTTTTTTTTGATAAATTTGGTTGATTATTTAGGGAATCACTGGAGCAGGCCCCCTCTTAGGCAGTCAGTGGGCCCCCCTTATAAAAATTTGTGGATCCGCCACTGCGAAAATACTCTGAAACGTTAGAAGCCAAATAACATGAAGGATCTAAACAAAATAATCAAATTAATCTAGTTATCTTTGCCTGCGGGAGTTGAAAGCTTAGTTTCTCAATAATGTTTTGACTGCTTAGATAACCAAAATTTAAATAATGATTCAACAATTTAGATGTACTGTAGGGACGAATGCTGAAATTCTGTTATCTTGCTCTTGAAATTAGTTGCCATAAATATAAAATTCTATCGGCCATACCTGTCAAGTGACCCGTATCCTGCGGGTCATACCAGAGAATTTCACCCCATACCCGGGATTTTTTAAATACCCGCCGGGTCGCTAAATAACCCGGGAATTCCGAAAATGACCAGTTTTCTCCCGGATTCTTGAGCCTGCATTTTCAGTTTCATAGGTTGACAGGTATATGCTATCCTTTTTTTTTAATATGAACAGAAGACAAAAACAGTTTTATTTCAATGCTTAAACTGCGTTATCTGGGATTTTGCAAACAATCAATCTTGAAACATTACTTTGAAACGGTCGATTCAAATTGCCTCCAATCGAAATTAACCTACAGGTGTTCAGTGGTCCAAAAAACCAATGGAAATGTCAATCTAATTTAGAAAGCAGTCTTTTATGTATTGTTTGGAAACCATATGACTTTTTATACGACCACAACAAAATTTTGCGGTCGTATATTGGTATGACGTTGGCGTCGTCGTCGTCGTCCGGCGTCGTCGTAGTCCGAAGACACATTGGTTTTCGCACAATAACTTTAGTTTAAGTGAATGGATCTCTATTAAATTTTACCATAAGGTTCAATACCACAAAAGGAAGGTTGGGGTTATGGTACTAACAGTTAAGGAATTAAGGGCCAAAAAGGGGCCAAAAATAAGCATTTTTGTAACTTCCAGACAATAACTTGTGTGTTAGTGTATGGATCTCTCTGAAATTGTACTGCAAGGTACCATACCACAAAGGGAAGGCTTGGATTGATTTTGGGGGTAATTGCCTCAAAATTTTATGAATTAGGGGCCAAAATGGGGGCAAAAAACAAGCATTTTTCTAGTTTCAGGACAATAACTTGTGTGTAAGTGTATGGATCTTTATGAAATTGTACTACAAGGTTCCATATCACAAAGGAAAAGCTGGGTTAGAGTATGGGGGTAATTGCCCTAAACTTTTAGGAATTTGGGGCCAAAAGTGGGCCAAAAACAAACATTTTTGTCGAGCCTGCGACTTTTGTCGCAAAAGCGAGACATAGCGATCCTACATTCCGTCGGCGTCGTCGTCGTCGTCGGCGGCGGCGTCCACAAATATTCACTCTGTGGTTAAAGTTTTTGAAATTTTAATAACTTTCTTAAACTATCCTGCATTTCAACCAAACTTAGACAGAACCTTGTTAATGATCATAAGATAGTATCCAGAAGAAAATTTTGTAAAAAGAAAAATCCTGTTTATCCGTATTTTACTCATATATGGACTTAGTTTTTCTGCCAGTTAACATACCATTCACTCTGTGGTTAAAGGTTTTCAAATTTTAATAACTTTCTTAAACTATCCTGGATTTGTACCGCACTTGGACAGAAGCTTGTTTATGATCAAAAGCTAGTATCTAGAAGGAAATTTTGTAAAAATGTATTTCCTGTTTTTCCGTATATTACTTATAAATGGACTTAGTTTTATTCCAGTAAACATTACGTACAGTCTGCAATTACAGTTTTTAAAACATTTATTAGATTCATAAACCTTCTTTAATTTTTACCAAACTTGAACAGAACTTCTTACAATCAAAAGATAGTATCTAGAGGAAAATTTTTAATATTTTTTCCCCATTTTTGTTGAGCCTGCGACAAATGCAAAAGTAGGCGAGACACTGGGTTCCGCGGAACCCTTACGAATGTTTACAGTTTCCAGACAATAACTTGTGTTCAAGTGTATGGATCTCTCTGAAATTGTACTGCAAGCTACCATACCACAAAGGGAAGGCTGGGATTGAGTTTGGGGTGATGAATCATAAGGGGGTTCAAAAAATTGGGGGGGGGGGGGATTTTTTTCTCCTTTTTTTCCTTTTTTTTTCTTGAAACTTTTCCATTTTAAGTTGGTTATTTTTTATTTATATATAAAAGCAAATAATAATGATAAGGTTTGATATCATAAAAAATTGAAATATTGGGGTTCTTTGATATGCTAAATCTAACCGTGTATTTAGATTCTTAATTTTTGTTCCCGTTTTCAAATTGGTCTACATTAAGGTCCAAAGGGTCCAAAATAAAACTTAGTTTGATTTTAACAAAAATTGAATTCTTGGGGTTCTTTGATATGCTGAATCTAACCGTGTATGTATTTAGATTTTGGATATTGGACCATATTAGGTAAATTAAAAAATTTTTAGTTCTTAGATTACATTCATTCTGTGTCAGAAACCTATGCTGTGTCAAATATTTAATCACAATCCAAATTCAGAGCTGTATCAAGCTTGAATGTTGTGTCCATACTTGCCCCAACTGTTCAGGGTTCGACCTCTGCGGTCGTATCAAGCTGCGCCCAGCGGAGAATTTTATTTGTTTTTAATTCACAAAATAACAACCATAACTTTTGAACGTTTTAATCTGTGATTAGTCCATGAAAATTTCAATTCAAGTCAGTAAATGATTCTCTAGTCATCGTCCGTAATGGCATGAGAAAACTTTAATTTTCTCAATAAAGGACAATAGGAATAGTAAATAAAATGAAAAATACTAGTACACGAACTGTGTTTAGAGTTAAGTAACAGATGATATTTTATGTACCGTATGCATCCCCTTTCATTCCAGGGAATGGTGAAATAATTAGATACAATTACACTGCTGTTTACTTCCCCCTTAATTCCAATGGATGGTTTAAAATTTAAACAAGAGAAATACAAGTACATTGCTGAATATTCCCCCCCTTCATTCTAGGGGATGGGGTAAAGTATTAAACAAGAGAAAAAACAAGTAATTTGCTGTATATTTCCACCTTCATTCTAGGGGATGGAGTAAAAAAAATGAAACCAGAGAAATACAAGTATTAATACAAGTGATAATACTAAATCAAGAAATGAGAATGATATCAGTTTCAAGTCATCAGACAACTAACAAAGGCCAAACGAAAACTATTAGAGCAAAAACACAAGAGCAACACACATAAAAGGGCCCAATCGGTAACAGATGATGAATAAAGGCGAGAAGTTCATCGTTGTCGAAATCCGGCAAATAGATTACAACCCGTTAAGATTACAATGGAACTTTTTTTTAGGATAATCAAAAACCGAGATCAGTATATTGTTAGACTGGTGAAATCTCATTAAACACCTGAGATGACCCCCAGTTTTCGGTGGGGTTCGTGTTGGTCAGTCTTTGGTTTTCTATGTTGTGTTTTGTATACTATTGTTTGTCTGTTTGTCTTTTTCGTTTTTAGCCATTTCGTTGTCAGTTTATTTTCGATTTATGAGTTTGAATGTCCCTTTTGGTATCTTTCGCCTCTCTTCTACTTCTCCTAGCTACAGTATGACTGACAATCGTGTTCAATTTTGGTTTAAATTAAGGCGTCTCAGAAAATTTCACAATTTGGTATAATGTTATGCCGGCTCCCCGTATTTATTCAGTGTTGTTTTGATATGCATTCTTTTCGTCGTTGTTATGATCCATAACCAGAAGTTAGTTGTCAAAAGTGTTAGATAAGTCAGGAGATGCTTATGCTTGTACTTATAAAACTATTATCTCGGATGACTTTTAAACATGTGGAGTATTGTTTTTGAGACATGTAACGTTTATTTTCGAACTGTTGGAAAGTGAAAGTAGGCCATAGATTTTTATTTACGGTTGTAAATAATAATAATATTGTGATTCATGTTGTTCTATTTTTTACATCTTATTATTTTTCCTGTTTGGGTTTCGTTTGA